GGCGCGGTGCACGCTGGGAGCGCGGGGGCGGTGGCGCCTGAGGGAGCGCGGCCGCCATTTTGTGCTGCTCGCTCGGTCCGGGCGGGCGCTGCGGCTCTGAGGGAGCGCTCGGCTCGCCTGCTCTGTAGCTCGGGGCCGCCGCCGCTGCAGCCATGGGCCGTAAGAAGAAGAAGCAGCTGAAGCCTTGGTGCTGGTATCCTTGTGTGTGGGACGCGGCGGGTGCGGGAAGCTGGGTGGGGGAGGGGAGCGGCCTGGCGCGGTCGCGGCTGGGCCCTGGCCTGCTCCGGGATGGGGCTCCCCCTTCTCCCCACCTCGGTTACGGTTTGTCTCGGTGCTCGGCGCTGTTCCATCCCTGTGCTCTTCGGGATGGGCCCCGCTTCGTGCCCTTTTTCTCCTCATGGCCCCTCCCGCCGAGGCCGCGGCCTCACACCCGCTCCCTGGAGCCGGGCTGGGCCCGGCGGGATTGCCGGCGTCGTGGGGAAAAAAAGAAAACAGCCTTTTTCCCCCGAGGGAAGGATGTTACAAACGAGAAAATCCTGCTCCTAATATACACAATACAATATATTCAAGGAGTGGGGCGGATGTGGTTAAAAGAGAGATTTTGAAAACTTCTTTCTTTTTTTTCTTTTTTTTTTTTTGTGGCCGGGTAGGCTTTCAAATTTGTAATTGCTGCATCACAGTCAGGTGGAATTTCTCAGTGTTCTGAAATACTGGTGGATTTTTCTTCGGTCGTTCCTTCAGAGTCTGCTGTCTGTTGGGGTGATTGCAGATTTACCTTTTCTCTCTCTCAAATGTTTCTACCCCATCTAGGTTTGCTTAATAAAGGAATTTATAAGCTTCTCTGTGCCATTTTATGTTGGAAGGCTTGTGTTTTAGATATATTTCACGTTTTCGCGGAAGCAAGAGACACTTTGTGATAACAATGTTAACAATGTGTTAATAACGAATTGCAACCGTGTATTTGTCTCGCCGAGGAAGATGTTTGCTGAAATCCCAGTGCTGACCTGCAGGAGGGAAAGGCAGTTTTGCCTCTTCTGTTACCTAGATATCCAGAAAGCTCCTTGTTTAAAATACTTCTGTTTAAAAGCAGAGAATTCTTTAATGACAGCAGCAAATTGTGCAGTGTCAGAAGAATTGATAGCTGGGTAGGAAAGGAATTTTTTAACTAAGACCTTTGTTCTCTTTTATGTTTGTTAGTTACTGGTACTTGTTACTAAAGAGACAATTGTGAGTATTTAGCATAGCTTCCGTTTTCCTGATTTCAAGTCTCTTTCTCCTTTAATGCTTTTGCAACTTTAATTTTCATCCACACCCTTGAAGGGAAAGAGTGAGTCCACTTAAAAAGAAGTAGGACTTGAAAACCATGGGACAAAGGATGTGAAATCAAATGATTCTCATTGCACACACCTTCCCAGTTTTATACCTGTCTGATGAGGGAAATGCTGGATCACATGAGGGTGGTGATTTTAGACATACACGAAATATTTGTCACTCTTTGAATGCTCAGAGATGCTTCCTGTGCCTTTTGCTTTAGCAAAAATCACCCTGGTGCTAATTACCTTGGTTTTGTCTAGGAGGTCTCTTGCAGTATTAAATGTTTCCTTAACAGTCTTCTGCAGGTATTGTAATAGGGATTTTGATGATGAAAAAATCCTTATACAGCATCAAAAAGCAAAGCACTTTAAATGCCATATATGTCATAAGAAACTGTATACAGGACCTGGTTTAGCTATACATTGCATGCAGGTAAGGAGTCTTAGATTTACTTGGGCTTTTCTTAGGAGTATCTAAAATTTGAATGAATCGTGACCTTAAAAAGGTGGTGTTTGGGGCTTCCAGAGTCTTAAAAATTGATGAGAAAAGGGCAGCACTGGCCTGTTTCCAGCACGGGAGCCGTGCTGTGTCAGCAGTCAGCTGGACACTGTGCAGCAGAGATCTCTGCCCTCAGTTCTGGAGGAGCAGTGAAGGAACTGTGTTGTCTTGGTGTTCTAAGACAAGTCTGTAAACTGGTTTTAGAGTTAGTAGATACCAGAGATTAGGAGGCACAATCAAGGATATGCTTGGCCAGAGAGATTATTCCCATTAAGGATGTTCCTTTTTTGCCTTGAAACTGGCTGAAGAACACAGAGAACTGAACCTCAATTGTGGTCAGCAGCATTTGTTTGCTTTGCTTTTCCTTTAGGTACATAAGGAAACAATAGATGCTGTTCCAAATGCTATTCCGGGAAGAACAGACATTGAACTGGAAATCTATGGGATGGAGGGCATTCCAGAGAAAGACATGGAGGAACGGAGGAGGTTACTTGAACAAAAAACTCAGGGTAAGGTGTGGCAGGTTGTGTGTCATTTCCCTGCTCTGGGAACTGTGGCACAGCGAGGGGTGGCTTTGCTTTGTTCTCTCACGGCAGCTCCAGATTGGAATTTTACTATTTTTGTTCCAACTAGAACACCCCAGATAAAGGTAATTTCATAGAACGCAATTTGCCTTCTGTCTGACCATCTCCTGTCCTGTCTGCAGAGAGCCAGAAAAAGAAACAACAGGATGATTCTGATGAGTATGAAGATGATGAATCTGCGGCTTCAACTTCATTTCAACCCCAGCAGGTTCAGCCACAGCAGGGGTACATTCCCCCCATGGCACAGCCAGGTCTGCCTCCTGTGCCAGGTGCTCCAGGGATGCCTCCAGGTGAGAGGGTGGGAAAAGCTGGGCAGGAATTACACAAATTGCTGCTGGTGTGCTGAGTAATGATCTGCCCTTTTAGCACTGGGTCTGGGAGGTCACAAAATAGTTCTGTGAGGTGCAGATAAGCAGTTTGTTCATTTTCTTCCCCCACACGTCTTCCTCCGTGGAGTAGATTAGGACACCTAAAGCTGGTGTGTAGACTGAAGACGTGGTAGTGAAACAGCTTAGTGCTTCAAAGAGACGTCTCCCGGAGATGTTTGGTTGTGGGATTTTGTCACAGGATTTTGGGAGCAGGGCAGGAAGGCTGTTGTGTGTGTAGAGACTGCTCACACAAAGCAGGCAGTTTGTACACAGGCCACAAATACGGTGAGGAAAGAATTTTGATCAGTGAGTGAAAAAGGGTCTCTTCCCCTTGTAGTAGGGTGTGTTCTTCAGAGACCACTGGGAAAATGTAGAGTCTTGCAGGACTGAGAGCAGTGAATCCAAGTCAGACTTGCAGATGGTTTATATTGGGTTGTTTCAAAAGCAGTCTTTCAGAGCTTCCTGTAGAGCAGTTATCCAGTCTGCATTCATTAGATGCCGTTTCCTAGCAACTGTATGTTGTGTGAGTTGCTGAAAATGTATTTCTCTTTTAAGGTATTCCACCATTAATGGCAGGTGTTCCACCTATGATGCCTGGAATGCCTCCAGTTATGCCTGGAATGCCACCTGGGTGAGTAGCAAGAAAGACTTGATATTACATATACATACTGTGCGTTTTGAACTGTCACAGAAGAAGTAAAGCTAATTAAAAAAAATGTATTTAGGAAATTGTAAACTCTGTGACCTAAATATTAAGGCTAAGTAGAGAGCTGGATGGCTGTAAACCAACATGTAAAATATGGCCAAGCTGTGAATTAGTGTGTAAAGTATGTTGCCTTTCTTTTGACTTTCTTAAGTAGTGGTATATTAATTTTATATTAATTTAAAGCTTTGTTGTGTTGGTTTAGAGCCTTCTGTGAGCCACTGTTCCCTTGTGCACTGCACATATGTTGTGCACCTGGTTATCAGTCATCAGCCTAACACGAAAAAGATACTGGATAGTTTATATTTTTCTTGTATTTTGGGCAAAAGGTGTTGGTTTTTTATGCTTGTTTGGGGTTGGCACCATCCCCTATCACAATGTGTTTTGGAAATTCACAGTTAGATTTTTGATTTTGTCATAAATTTTCACAGATTACATCAACAGAGAAAATACATGCAGTCATTTTGTGGTGGAAACATGTAAGCATCTCATTAATGTAATTTTAGGTACATTCATTATGCCATTTTATGTCATGTTTTTGATAAGCTTGGAATTGTCTTACTGAAAACCTCTGAATATTGCTTGAGAATTTGGGGAAAATGTTTAGTTAGGTTCTGTTACTGTATAATATATGAAGTTTTTATGCCTTATCTAAATATTACAAAACTATGCGTGAAATGTGTTCTACAAAATATTAACAAAATAGACCCTCAGGGACTGACCACCTCTCTTGACCCAGAGTACAGCTCCTTGTGCTCGGTCCTTCCCACTGCAGGATGCACTGCGGGATCTCAATTTGGAAGTTTTAAAGTTCACTGAGCTGGAAGGTTGTTCTCTTCTGGGACACAAATATTGATTTAACAATCTTTGAATTCAAAAATCGTGTCATAGTCAAACATGGTGTGGATGCTCATCATGAGTTTAATTTTTCTGGGTGGAAATTAAACAGAATTTAATCAGGTTTTCTGGTGCTTAGTCCTCACTAAACACCGAGGGGGTAAAAACACAACTGGATTTGCCAAAATTTCACTGCATTTCCATTTGGGAGCAGAGGGTGGTGTTGCACTCTCCTCTTACCCATTTTAATCTGAAGTTCTGCTTATTTAACCTGATTATCCTGTGTCTAAAAATGAGGAAAGAGGAACTGGGACACAGAAAGCAACTTTGTTTTTGGCTTGACAATATTTGTAGCCCTGTCTCTGCAGTTCCTCGGGGAGTCACCTTTCTGGGGCAGCAGGCAGGGAGCATCCAGCACGTTTTTGTGTGTCTAATGTGTCAGGACTGACTTTGTCTGCTGTGACCATCAGCCCAGAAATGGGGGAATGGTGCTGTGTTCCCAACATTCCTGCTCCTGCACAGGGTGTTCCCTTTAGCACTGGCAGTTGGGAATAGAACTCAGGCTTTGCTCACCCCCTCCTGGTGATTTGTTTTGATGCTGAAACACCAGGGGTGAAGGTGTCTTGACTCTCTCATACCAACAGACTGCTTTTGAGGGGTTTTTGGGGTGTACTTGTTTGCTGCACATCTGTTTATCTTGCTCACTGAAGTAATGAGAATTCCATTCTTTTGTTTCCCTGATATGTCTTCGAGCATCTGCACAAAAATTAAGCAAATTTAAGCTACACTTGTTTAGTTCCCTGTAAAGCAATCACACATACTCCTCTAGGGAAAAGCCCTTTTTAATATGGAAAAAAATATAATGAGGGCTTCTCATATTAAAAAAAAAATCCCACTTTATCATTAGTATGTGGATGATTTACTGTAATTGAAACTGCAGAAGCTTTCTTAGCCTCTGCTTTTATCAGTGTTTTATGGATAGCTGTGCACGTTTGGGTTCTCTGCCTTTCCCTTGTGGTGTCAGAGCGGAGTAAGAGCAGTTGTGCAGCGATTGAGGGTGATTTGAACTGCCTCTTTTCCTACATTCAGACTTCCTGAGTGTGCCAAGTTCATGTTCTTGGAACACTCTGCTGTAAGTGGTAGCCTGAAGCAGATTTCAAGAGGGACACCAGTTCTGGAAATTTCAAAAGAGTGGAAGTGAAATCTTAAAAAATTAAAGTTCAGATTTTCTTGGGGTTTTGGGTGTTGGGTTTCCTGGTGTTTTTTTTTTTCTTGTGGAGTCACCTGGTTTTGAATTCTCTTTATTGAGAGCTTCTTGGAATTATTTATCATGATTTTTTTGTCTAATACAGGTATGTGCCAATTGTCTTAACAGTTTATCAGGAGTGCTGATACCAGTGTTCATTTTCTATTTAATAGGATGATGCCAATGGGTGGAATGATGCCTCCTGGGCCAGGAATACCACCTCTTATGCCTGGTATGCCACCAGGTAGGTCAGGGTTGTCGAACTCGTACTATGGTGAGAGTTATATTTATTTATTTATTTTCATTACATTTAGGATTTTTATAAGTGCCACCACCTTGATGTGGTTTGATTGCCACAGAAACCACTCTTATGCAGAGGTGGTTGATTTATGGCTTTTTATTTTAAGTAATTATTTGAGTTTTACTCTGTTGTCAAAGTGAAAAATAGAATATAGTTTTCTATTATTATTATTATTTATTATTATTATTATTCTCCTCTGCTGTTGTGTTGTCTCATCCCTTTTTTTAATGTCTGTGGCTGCAGCTGGAAAATAGTAATGATTGAAAATGTGGGAAGTAAGGAATAATGCTGATGATTTACCCAACTCATGAGCCTTCTATTTGAAGAAATTTAATTGCAATTTTGGTCTCTAACCATAGCTGGAAGAGATGTCTCTTGAGCTGCCTAAAGTTCTCAGGGTGTTCCACCTGAGCAGCAGCTGTGTGGTGATGAACTGGGATTTGCTGGTTTGCCTGATGGGACTCCTGGGAGCTGTTAACTTCCCACCTGAGCCTCCCCTGGAGCTCCCTGCACACCAGGAGCAGGTTTGGGGATGCCAGAGTACAAACATCACAGTGCTGAAACCCCCAGCAGCTCTGAGGGGCTTTGTCCCAGTGCTGGTGCTGTTGGTGGGGGCTGAGGCTCTTTGGTTCTGTACCAGTCTCACCCACACTTGTGGCAGGGTGGGCACAGTGTGTTGGAAACACTTCCTGCATTCCTTGCCTTGGTTTAACAGGAGTGTAAACTTCATTATGGAAGCTTTAGTAAAAAATGCCTTAATTCAGTACTGCTCTGAAGGGGTGGAGGTTACTGCCTGTGGTACTGTTTGGTGATTGCTGACAATGCCCTGTGTCATGTTTTGTTTTACTGTTGCCTCAGAAATACATCTTCCTTGTGGGAGGTGGTTCTGAGGAAGCCTCTTTGCCCCTCGAGCCTGATCCGTGTGCCGTGCTTTGTGGTTGCAGGAATGCCTCCCCCCGTGGGGCCCCGGCCTGGCATGCCCCCCATGACCCAAGCACAGCCTGTCACAGCCCCGGGCATCCTTAACCGGCCTCCAGCTCCTGCTGCAACCGCCCCCACCCCGCAGCCTCCAGTTACCAAACCACTCTTCCCAAGTGCGGGGCAGGTAAGGTGTCCCAGAGCCTGCAATGGCTGCTCCTACATCCGTCGAATTCCACAGCGTGGGCAGTGCCTGTTAATTACTGAGGAGGCCCCAGAAATGACTGGTCTCTTGCTTGGGTTGATTTGGAAGTTTAATGCAGTGTAGTGCTTGAATGAATTGTAAGATATTCTTTGTCTTGCAACAGCTGTGAAACCAAACAGTTCTCTAACTAAGCATGTGGGGAGGACGGGAGTAGGCAAAACACTTCTTTGTTTAATTCCTTTAGTTTGTTGTTTATAAAGGTGCTCTGGGTGGGTGAAGGGATGTGTTAGCCAGCCACAGGAGTCTGATGGCAGAGAACTCTACCTAAAATTTACAAATTACAAGTCTTGGCATGACTTGTTCTCAGCTGTTCTCATAATGGGCTCTCTGCCAATTGACAGACTGATTTATTCTGTCTTCTTGTTAAACTGCTCAAACAGTGCCTGAGTTAGGAGGTTCTGTACTGCAGAAAGTGTAGGAGCAAGTTAGGTTGGTAAAAAATTCATTCAAGTGTGTTGGGGAGGGAAGTGGGGAATTGATAGTGGCTTGTGAACTCTTCCCTTTGAATGCACTTGTGTGTAAGCCCTGAAGTCTTTCCTTACTTTCAAGTATGTTGCAGAAACCTTCATAGTGTATTATTTGCATTTTGGACTTCTGCAGGGAAGATACTTGTTTACAAAAACCCAGTCCTTTCGTAAGGAAGGGCTTAGCATAAGAAATCCTTTCATGTGGATACTTTCCACTCTTTTATTTGGAGACTTTTCACTGTTTCCTTTCTTTTATGCTACAGATGGGGACACCTGTCACAAGCTCAAGTGCAGCTTCCTCCAATTCAGAAAGTCTGTCAGCATCTTCTAACGCTCTGTTTCCTAGCACAGCACAAGTACGCAGGAAGTCACAGTTCAAACCAATTGCTTTGCAACTTAACCCTTTGGACCGTTCTGTGAAACCTAAAATTGACTAAACATCCTCAGACCATTTCTGTTCCCTTCCTGACTATGTTTAGCTGGTAAAACCGCAGAGTCCTCCACTGGGAGTTGTATCTTGCTAGAAATCAGCTTGTCAAAGTGCCCGATCCTCCCTAGTGTGAAAGAACGAAATGTAACCTCCTGGTTCTAAAGGGTTAAAAAAGCATGAAAGCAGTTCAATGCATTTTAGTGGGCAGTGGTTAGCTTGATGCATGGTGAAGGCTTTTTAGTTTATGTTGTTTAATATGATACATCACGATGCAGGGAATTTTTCATTTGCATTGTGTGCAAAACGTTAAATATTTTTGTTTTGGTTGGGAGGTTCAGGTGATTGTAAATACACAGTGACTAGAAACAAAAGCATTCTCTCATAACTGAGGCTGGCTTTGGAGATTGCTGTGTCTTCTGAGACAGCTTTGTAAGGCAGACTTTGGCAGGGTTTTTTTAAGAAAAAAGTAGGAAAGGTGAATTGCTGGAATCTGTAGTGAACTTCATATCTGCTTCCACTGACTCTTCATTCTCAAATGAGACTAAAGTTCTGCAGGTAGACACAGTACTTTGTGACAATGCTGCAGTGTCTATACAGAGAACACTTAAAAGCCCTGACACAACAGAGCTTTCTTAAATATTGGATTAAAATACCACTTAACTACCTAATTTTAAGGAAAACTAATAGTTTGAGCTATACTCTGAACTAATGGTTCCTAAAGTATGTTAATTAGTGCAGAAACAATGAATTTATACTTAGATCTCTTCATAAAACAGTAGATCAGGAAAGATTTAGACATCTACCAAATTCAGTACTTGAGATAAGGGTTTTGATAGTGGGGTTTTGGGGTTTTGTTTGTTTGTTTGTTCCTTTTTTCTAGTTGTGGCTTTTGACCTGCAAATGTTAGCCTTTCCAATGTGTGTGTGTGTATATGTGTATATCCTGGGTTTTATTTTGTCTTGTTTTCAGTTGCTCTAGTGTGCAATAAGGCTGAACTTTACTTTTGTCGAGCTTGTTACAATTATGTATCTCACTGGAAGGTTTCAGAGCTCTGAGAGACATCATTATTTAAGTTTTCTGCTGCTTTGAGATGCAAGCATTGACCTGTGTGTGTGTTCCACAGGCTGCAGCAGCTGTGCCAGGGCCAGTTGGTACTGATTTCAAACCTTTGAATTCTACACCTGCAACAACAACGGAGCCCCCCAAACCTACATTCCCTGCTTACACACAGTCCACAGCCTCAACCACTAGCACCACCAACAGCACTGCAGCTAAACCAGCCACATCTATAACAAGTAAGCCTGCTACCCTCACCACAACCAGTGCAACCAGTAAGTTGATCCATCCAGATGAGGATATATCACTGGTAAGTTAAAATGTTTTCATTGTCTCACTGAAAAAATGCAATTTGTGCTGGTATGGCTGATTAAATGGAAATTCTTCTGTGCTCTGTAACTTGTGTATTTTAATAATGGTGAGAGTGCAAACTGTGCAGAATTAATGTAACTGAGATGACTGGCATGCTGCAGTGATCTTACTGCAGTTCTGTGCCTTAGCTTTGTTGGGGACAGGAAATCACTCAACCCAAAATGTAATTGGGACTTTTCCTGCATGTGACTTAAGCTTGAAGTGTAAAACATACAGGTAGTGTAGAACAAGAGACTGAACAGTTTGAAGTGGTTTTGGTGCTGTTACAGCAGTCAGAAAATGGAATTTATGGATCAAACAAATGAACCCTTATGTCAGGTCAGGTATCTTTAGATCTGTGTTCAGCTTTTTTGTCTCAGCTTAAGAGAAAAATGCTTTGTTGAGTGGAGGGGGAGAATTTGTGTTGTGTGCAAGATGCTCCCTTGGCTGGAATTGATGCAGTAACTGCAGGAAAGGGGAAAATCCAGGAGCTCCCATGTCATGTTAGTGGTAGTCTCTGAATTTTAAGGTGGTTAAAATAGTTTAGTGCCTGTAATCTGCTTTGTTGAACCTGTCTTTGCTGTGCTCTTGGTGGGTGTTAACACACCGTGTTGTGCTTGTGTGCTCTGGTTTTAGGAAGAGAGAAGGGCTCAGCTGCCCAAGTACCAGCGCAATCTTCCTCGGCCGGGCCAGGCTGCCCTGGGTAATCCACCAGTTGGACCAATTGGAGGTATGATGCCACCACAGCCAGGAATTCCTCCACAGCAACAAGGAATGAGACCTCCCATGCCACCTCATGGTAATCACAAATTCCCCAGCTTTCCTCTCCTGAAAAGCTTTGTCTTTGCCATAAACCTTTTGAAAACTTTGAAGTGGCCTGTTCTGGCAGGGAGGGGTGAAGCTTATCACAAAAGGCAACTTCTCATTACTTAAAAAAATAAAACCAATTCTTCTTTGCATCTTAAATGTTCTGTTTATAGGTCAGTATGGTGCTCATCACCAGGGCATGCCAGGATACCTTCCTGGGGCCATGCCTCCATACGGGCAGGGACCTCCGATGGTGCCCCCGTACCAGAGTGGACCTCCTCGACCTCCCATGGGAATGAGACCCCCCGTAATGTCGCAAGGCGGCCGCTACTGACGCTCCTACTCACGCTCTAATAGGTTTGGAGATTAAACCTTTTCTCATCTTGTGCTGTTAATATAGCAGAGCTTCCGTCAATTAAGGCTTCATTGTGACTTTAAAAAATATAAGTACCTTCCCACATGCAAGGAGCTATTGGACATTCTTATTTTACATGGGAAAAAAAATTATTTGGAATAATAACAGGAACTTTTCCTGATGTTGCAATTTATACTGTATGGCTTCTTTTTCATGTTTCATCTAGGTTTTTAGAAGTGAAGTATAGTAAATATGGTTCGTTAAATTGTGAAGGCGCTGGAATTACATGAACATACCACCTTAAAGGCAAGTTCTGTGATGTTACGTTGCTCTTTGTGAAATGATGCCTTCACAGCACTTCAAGTGCTGTTGGACTTCACGTCCCCAACATAGTTTGGTGAGGGCTGTAACTGTTCCCAACTACTTGTACATTAAAGTCTGAACTTGTAACAATATTTAATGTATTTAGAGTTCCTCCTGTTTCAGGGTTTAAGTAAACTGACCCACTAAGGTCATGTGACTTTTCTGTACTGTTATAAACTTCATTGTAATAAAAGAGGAGAAAAATTTATATGCCTTTTTATTCGTGACCAGCTGTGGACAACTGCCTGAAAGGTTTGTACAGATGCATGCTGTGGTAGCCATTGGTGTAATGAGCACAGTTACTGGTGCTGTTTTGATAAAATCGGAATTCCTTGTTCTATCAAAAGTCACTCCTTAGCTGTACATCTGAGTAGACAAAGACCTGTACACTTATTAACGGACTCCTCAAAACTGAGGCTGCAGGAGGCACATCCTAACTCTTGGTTGGAACTTCTCTTAATACATATGTTTCTTTATTTGTGCTTTCTTGTCCTCAATAAATTTGAATTGATTTCTAGTCCTGGCACTTACTTGCAGGATGTGGAAGTGCTCTCAGACACATCCTCGTGCCAGATGTGTCCTGTTAGTTCTCTCTCTTGAGCTGACCCTTGTGCAGGTGCAAATGTGTGAGTTGCAGGAGTCTGGTAGGTTCATCTTTCTAGAAGCTCAGGTGCATGGCACACGGTGAGTGACTCCCAGCTGATGTATTGAAGTTGACCTGCAAAAGAGAAATAGTAGCTCCACCTTGTTCATGTCTGGCAGAGGCAGAGCAGGCAAAAGGAGTGGGTTATGGGCTGTGTTTTGAAGTGTCCAGAATTTCATGAACTATCTGTAACCATCTGCTGTGTGATGAGATGTTGGCTGAGTTTCTTTCTTGAGCCATTCAGTGAAAGTTTCTGGAGGAGTAAGAGACCTTTTTATCAGAGAGGCTTTTCCTATGAAGTAGTCATTTATCTGTTTATAAGAGCAGAGCCATAAATTCCTGTCAGGGTTGCAGTTCTCTGAGTGTCTGACATCACTGTGTTCCTGTGCTATATTTCTGATGAAGGTGAGAATGCAGAGAGAGACTTTTTGGAGGGGAGGACAGTGATAGCTTCTCTGGCCTCTTTACCACAGGAGGAAACAAAATGAGTGGTGAATTTCTTCATTTGCAGGTCAACTTTAAATACACATTTCAGCCTCAAGCCTTATCTGTGCAATTTAATTGATGGGGATATCTCTTCTTTAAGGGTAGGTTAGAAAGACTATCAGCATTTTTGTGTCAGTGTTCCACAGATGTTTTTGTAGATCGTGGAGTTGTTTTAAATTACATTACTGAGCACTATGGCTCTGTTTCTTGGAAGCCTTGGGGTTTTTTAGCTGCTTGTAGGTACATCCAGTGGCTTTGTGCTGTCACCAGTGCAAAAATCCAGTACAGCTAAAGCACTCCATGGTCTCAGCTTCTGTCCTGGGGTCACAGAATATCTCCTAAAAGCACAAGAGCATCCAGTGCAGTGTAATTACAGCTGACTGGCCTTATTTTAATCATCAAGAATTGCCAGGCACTTTCTCTGAAGTGTTTAGCAGTTGTAAGACCATAACTCCAAGCCTCTGTTGAGAAGCAGTTCTCTCTGATCACTGGTATCTGCTGATCACCTGTCAGATGTGCAGTATTTGGCTTGCAAATGTGCTGAGTGGGCCTTGATGTCAGATCTTCTGTTAGCTCCTCATCTTGCTGTACACACAAGTCTAACAGATCAAACTGTTCTGCTCAGGCAATGCTTTTACACTCTGGTTTTCTTCTGTTTACCTAATAAGGATCATTACACAACAATGGAGAGATTATTGCAGTGTCTTATATTTATCTTTTTTGTAATACTACACATTGAATTCATACTTTATAAAGTGATCTTAACTACTGCTTGTAAAACTACAGAACTTCTTTGCTTTTCTGGAGATCATATTGCTGCTGTAAGGATGCTTTGCCCTCCTGCCCCACTCAAGTAAATCCCTTCTCCCTTTGGTGTTTTTCCATAACTTTCTGTGTGTTTTCAGACCCCTCCTTCTCCTGGGATCAAACCTTACTGCATGTACTGTTAACTCAGCATATTCTGCAAGTTGTATTAATTAAGAATTTCCCTCTTTTAAGCAGTGAATGTCTGGTAATGGTACCACTGGTAGCTAATACTGCATAGACTTAGAGCTTGGATGCATTTTGAGACTGACTTTCCTGGTTGTAATGTTATATGATAATCCCTCGAGTAAGCACTGCCACAATGTGTCATTGGTACTCACATAGAAGCAGGGGAACAATTCTTTCCATGATTTTCCCTTGGATACTCCCTGTCCTGCTCCTGTCATTCCTGTGCTGTAAGAGCTGTGGTGTGGCTGCCTTTGGTTACTCTTGTGTCTCGTGTGACTCCTCTGTCAACAGGCAGCTGTTGCAGTGCCTGTGTTGTCTGTTGGTCCCTGCCTTCATTTCTTTGGATACTGCTTCTTAATGTTCAGAGAGTTGGATTTATGGTGCATTTACCCAAAAAGATGTCCCAAAACTATCTGGGATGGAACAGTGGCTTGTGTAAAGACTAAGGCTTGGTTTACAGTGCCAAGTGTAACCAGCATCACTGTGCCAGCAGATGCCACGTGTGCCACAGCCAGGAGAACAGGCCTCTGCTGCAGTTCAGCTCTCCCTGGAAGGAGGTGGCAGAAGCCTTTCTGATCCCAGAGAAAGCATCTCTTGTGCTGCTGCAGGACTCTGCTGCTGGAATCATAGAGGCAGAAGCTTTGGTTTTGAGCTGTTGCCTAAATATGCCACGGCAGATCTTACAGGGAAGTTAACACCTGCAAGGGCATTTTGAAATGCAAATGCTGAATACAAAAAATAACACTACAAGAAAATCTTAGGCACAGGTGGGAAGAGGTTTAGCAAAAAACTTACCAGAATTTATGGCATTTAGGATTTGTTTGAAAGGTTCTGAACTATTTTATGCATGGTCTCATAATATTGTTATGAGCAGCTGGCCTTTAGGGCAAAAGGGGTGAGACTGGCATGAAAGAACCTTGAAAAAGCCTGGGCTGGTTTTGATATGACTCTTTCATACTGCCTTTAGAGTGGCTTCTGCCTTTGGCAAACAGATAAAATACTGACCATTTAGCTGGCTCATGTGGACTAAAAATTTCTTCTGAAACTTGGGGATTTTTTTTTCCCCCACAGATGAGATTTTAGGTGCTGATAATAAATTTGAGGCTGGGCTGAATATCTAATAACAGTGGATAACAATTCCTCACTCTGTGCATGCATAGGAGAATATAAACAAGCTTCTAGAAACACATTCAGCTGCATCTGCCTTGTGTGGGCTCTGCCATTGGTTTAGTCTGAGGAGCTCTTGACCAGCACTTACACACAACTGTGGAACTTATTAAAACCTGGATAAAATTGAACAGGATCTCTAACCCACAGTTATTTTATAGGAGTCAAAGAATTCTGCATGCAGGATAAAATACAAAATACCAAGATTACATCAGTTTTAGGAGCAGCAAGAAGGGCATTATGACCTTCTGTTAAATTGAGACTGATACACCAGTCCGTGAGCTGGGGCTGCAATTTAAGATGGGAACTGATGGCACTTCATAGTAACTGTCTTAATAATTGTACTGGTCTAGTTTCTACATAAACACTCAGACAAGGGTGAACATTTCCAGTGGCTGATGGAATCTTTACTTCTCATGAACTAGTACAGTAAGTACTATCAGTTATGGGAAAAATGCCCCAAGAGAACTGACTGACGTTCCATTGATCAAGATACAAAGCAAAACCAACTGTCCAATTCAGAAATAGCTACCAAGTTCAAAAAATACTGTTTGGGCCTAACCAAAGAGGTGCTGTAGCAGTCATTTTCTTTTGTTTGCTTGATCACTGGAATTTTGTTAACTTTGAATGCATGTCTTTCACTTAATTGGGTCATGTTTTTTCTAAAATTTAAATTTTTCTTCTTCCTATAGCCCTGCCATAGGACAGGCTGAGGCAGAGTCTCAGTGTTGCCCTGTTCAGTCTGAGGCAAGTGGGATTTATTTTATTCATTCTGGGGGCTTTCACAGCTTTATGGCTGTTGGATATTTATGTCCCCAAACTTGCAGCAAGTTTGGTGAAGGCCCCTAAATTTATTTTAATTTAGGTTTTTTTTATTCTCTTTTGGTAGATGGGCTCTATATTAAATATTTCTCTTTTGATTATCGTTGTGGTTTTAAGAGTCTTAGGGGGAGGGAAGCTGCTTTAAGATGTTTGGGTACCTTTTCTCTTGGAATGCATTTCCTTTGAGGCTGCTCAGGGGGTCCTTCAGCCACACTGCCCCTCCCCACCTTTCCCTGCATTGCATTGGGGCTGGGGTTGGGGTTGGGGTTGGTGGTGGTGCCTTTTTGTAGTCTCTGAATGAGTGGCATGTAAATCCCAAGTCCTAATGTTTCCTCTGCTGGGGAGATGTATCTGTTGAAGTGCTAAAAATAGGTTTTAGCCAGCAGGTGACATTTATAGCACCAAATTCCAGAACAGAGTTTCTTTGAAGGAGGTTGAGATGTCAGTCCTGCTGCATCCATGAGCTGCACCTCAGCAAATATTAATGTAGAGCCCTGGGAGGAACCTGAGGGTTGATCCAAGCTGGTAACACAGAAAAGAGGAGTGAGAAGTGGAAGCTGCAGATTTTTCAGTTGGTGAGTTTCAGGAAGAGCCTTTTCCTCAACCTCTCTGGTGCACCAAAACTGTACCCTTTGTGAGGGAAAAGCTGCTCGCTCTGGTGCAGATACACTGGCCTTGACTGCTTGAGGTTGCTTAAAGTCAACTTCAGCTTCACAAGAGCAGGTGCTGTCCAAGGAGGTCTTGCAGCCCATCAGCAATGAAACAGAAAATAAATGGAGGTGTCGGGTTTTTACAATTTTTTTCAGGCTTTCAAAATGTATGGTAGTTTTTATGAGCGTACACTGTCTCATTTCTTCAGGATTTTCCCAAATAAGGCCCCCCCATGTGATTTTCAGTAATTTAAATTCAAGGATAGAGTTGTCATTCTTAACTTAGAGTGATTGCACATTCCTGTGTACCCCTCTTTGCTTGTACTCTGCCCTTTGCATTTTTCCTGGAGAAGGGTCCCTCCCCAGGTCACCCAGACTGACTGGAAAATTGTCCTCTGACGTTCCGAAATGGTTCCTGAGCATGGCCTTGCCTTTCTAATTCTCATTGTGGTGCTCTCCTAGTAACAGTGAAGATGAGAACAACTCTTCCACTAGGATTTGTTTCGCTTTCTCAGTTTACAGCAGCTTTTGGCTTATTCTTATTTCCCTGCAATGCCCAAGGAAAGTGTTTAACCCAAAATAACGAGTGTGGGTTGTACTTCTTGCTTGGAGTATCTGAATCTCTCAGAGACTCAAAATGAAAAATGGGCAAATTCCAGATGCCTGATCTTGACCTTTATTCCCAGTTTCCATTTCAGACTGATGCAGCACTAGGTGGGCTTTACCCAGCTGCTCATGTTCAGCCTGTCATTAAAC